GAGGTATTCTAGCCTCTCTGCCATCAGCAGGTTCCTGGCCACCATCCATCCCGATTCCTCAATTTAAACCACCAGTATCTTTCCCAGCCTTTGTTTTCAGAGGCGCGCCGGGTAACCTGCTGACCTGAAGCGGAAGGGCGGCCACCGATAAATCTAATCGGCGGACAGTCTTGATTTTCGTGCCAGCGCGCAGTGCCCGCGGCTGACATATGGGAAAGGTACGGGTGGTTCAACTAGACTCCTGCGGTCATTGTAGTCATATCTTGTCATCAACCAGGGCAGTTCCCGTCTCCGTCTTCAGCAGTTCCGCAGCCACCATCCACTCCCATACCTCTGTCATCAACTGGGCCTACTCTGGTCCATTTGTCGGCATGAGAAGCAGATAATCCTTCCACAACAAATCCCCCCATCACCATCCCACCTGCGGCCCTCCCCCCAAAGCAAGGCCCTAAGGTAACCAACTACTATGTGATCATCCACTCCACTACCGTAGGCCTGGCCTGCCAGGCCCATCCCCCAGCTTTATCCGTACCATGTTGCGCAAAGGGCGAATCGGAATCGAACCCCTGACCTCTCCATTGCAGCACCCTAGCCCAACCCACTGAACTACTACATCAGCTGCCCTGTCTATGCATATTGCACTAGGCTGGGGGACACGTACGTGGGTGTGGGGTGCCAGCCTAGCATCAGCTGATCACATGCAGGGGAGGTTGCATGGCGACCGGATAGATCCCGCAACCTCCCTGTTGCAATGCCAGAGGTCTAACCCACTGAGCTACCAGGTTTGTCCCAGAATTGCAGTCTATTTCACTCTCTTCTTGTCATAGGAGCATTTCGTATTCATTTCGTATTCCCACAAGAACGACCGACAAAGACAATAACACAAACAATCAGTTGAAGAAGAAGTGAGAGATCACACATCACCAGGCACAGCCTCCGCCGCTCGTGCTAGGCAATGTACCCTGCTAAACGGCAATTGCCTGACTAAACATACATACATACAGTGCACCAAGTGACAAGAAGCATGTCACCAGATGACACGCTTCAGAGCCTCGGGGTACCCTCTAGTTATAGAAACTGTCCTCCAAATCAACACCCTCAACGTCCCACGTCTATCCTCCAACACCCAAACCAAACCCCGAATCCAGATCCCGAATCGCATTCGTAAGGAGTTTCATCTGTGTTGAATGGTGTACACAGATGTAACTGTTGATAAGTAGGGACACCCCAAGTTTAACTCCTGTCGGATAGAGATTATGCGGCAAATCAGATCCCAGAGTCCATACCAAATTTGCTAGCAAATCACACCAGAGCACGGGGATACCCGCTAGCTTTTGCTGTCCGCCTGCTCAGGCTGGTCCACTTCTTGGAACACAGTGAATGTGCCTGTCTCTCTCTCTCTCTCTCTCTCTCTCTCTCTCTCTCTCTCTCTCTCTCTCTCTCTCTCTCTCTCTCTCTCTCTCTCTGTTTGTGTCTGTGTGTTGTTGTCTGGCCATTGATTGGACAATTCGGATGCATCAATAACCCCCCATGTTTTACTGTGGCAGTCCCCTTGCCCATCTGGCCTAGACATGCCTGGATGGGCAGGCAAAACAGTTTACCGGTAGGTTTCATAGTTCAAAGACATGAGGTCATTGTGAAGTGTGAAGTAGAAGAGCGCAAGTGGGCCCATGTACTGCAACCTTTGTTACCCAGACAATGACTACCCTGATAACAATGACATGTCCATTTACACAGCCACATAGCTCAAAAAAAAAGACCCCCCTCAGGAGTGCAGGCCCAGAAAACAATGAGCCCACTTGCACATGCGTTTGCTGAAAGGAAGAGGGAGCTGAAAAGCCGATCCAATCATACCCCTTCATTTAACCTAGCCGCTAACACTGGTGATGAAGGCAGCCGCCTCCTGCTGGTCCACAGGATGGGAGCATTCTTCCTGAGGGCGTGTGTCCAGAAGACCGCACAACTGCAGGCCCAGAAGAACGCATCGCCTGACACCTTCAGAGTCAGGACATCCTTGTCCACGAGCGTAGGAACATAAACAATGCAACATTCATGCGAGTTACCTTACCAATGATGGGCCTAGCTCAGTTGATACGCCCATGAATTGAAATACGGAGGTGAGTTCGAATCCAGATTCAAGCTGTCGAATGATTTTTTTCTGAATTACTCGAGCCCGGTCAGTTCCACGATGATATCCTAAGGCCGTCGCCCTTTCAAAAAAAGGAAGAGGAGGTGGGAAGGAGAAAGAAAAGAAAGGGGGGCTGGGGGAAGTAGGACTCCGTAGGAGGGAATGAAGGGAGGAAAAAATGTGAAGGGAAAAAAAAAAAAAAAAAACATTCACGCACGTTGACACATAAAGACAATCAGTGTGGCAGGCATACTATGCGTAACGGTCACGCGGACACTCACCAGAATGCGTAGGTCTTGTTGTAGCTATATATAGTTATACATTGTCACATATCGATATCGTCAAACAGAACTGCCCGATAAACCATAGGCAGAGAGGGAGAAGAGGACAACGAACGAGGTATATTAAGGCGATTTCGCATGCGCATTAGTCGCGGGCGATAGAATCGTGGATGAGATGTTGGCATTGCCTCCCACGTAAAGGGAGAGAGGCGCTGGTCCAAGCCTAACACATTCATCGCAACGGAATAATGCAGCCGATAGAACGGAATACGTAGGGATTAAGCAAAATAAATCCTTTATCCCTTCTTTTTCCTAGTTCCAGATATTACTATGGAATCGATAGAACGGTACACACATCCAGAGCTGCTCTTGTTTCGAGATAAGAGGGAATTTTGGCTAGAGCGGTGAAATCGACTCCAAAAATTCTTCACTGTTTCGCTCGCAGTCAGTGGAATCGAGTGGGGAATAAATGTTCTGTGACAGGTGGTTAAACCACTACTACCCCCGCCGGCCTAAAATGGACTTTCTGGCCTTACAGACCGGGTTCTAAGTGGGGGGCGGCGACCGGCAGGCGCAGGCGGGACCGTTCCAGGAATTTTCAAGCAAAATTGGCCAAAAAACTGAAAATTTGATATCCTGTAGCTTAGGCCGTGATCTTTCCAGGAGAAGTATCAAAAACTGAAGGGGAAAAAAAAAAGACCGCGAACGGCGCGAAGTAAATGCCGCGCCGTTTCGTCACATTTTTCATTTTTGCTACTCTACCACGTAGGGGCCAAAAAACTGAAAAATTGATATCCTGTAGCTTAGGCCGTGATCTTTCCAGGAAAAGTATCAAATACTGAAGGGGGAAAATAAAAGACCGTGAACGGCGCGAAGTAAATGCCGCGCCGTTTCGTCACATTTTTCATTTTTGCTACTCTACCACATAGGGGCCAACGGGAAAAGTAACCTAACTTTCACGATTTTTTGCGATCAGAAGGATGACCCAACAACTCTGAAAATTTGAGGGGCCGTAGATTTTGTCGTGATCTTTAGAGGAAAAATATTTAAAAAAAAAAGAATAAAATCATTTGAACCGCGAAAAAAATCGCAGGGGTAATTCGCCGCATTTTCAAATTTTGCCACTTCCCCAGTTCCCCCCACTGTGCTACCGGTAGCCCCCATGGACCTGTGCTACCGGTTCCCCCTATAATTAATGATGGCGGGGTAGTGGTGGTTTAACAGACCCTTTCATTGTCAGCAGACCCCAAAACAATTGAATCCAAACTTGCCGCAAATCAATAGAATAAGAGTAGATGGATGAGAGCTAGAAAAACGAACAGCAAAGGACATAATAAAAAAACCATGGGCTGACAATGTGAGGGACCGCTGTTCACCATGCGCTCGACACTCAAAGCGGAAGCGTTCAAAATTCAAATGAAATGGCAGAAGTGATGTGTTGAACCATTCACAGCATAAAATGCAAGAAGGCGATACAGGGCCTATGAAGGAGATAGATTCCCACAAGACGACAAGACGATTCGATAATCGTGAAGGTAAAGTTGGTAAACACATGGCTGATGTTCACATATACACAGAAAACCAGCATGGTTTATGCAAATGCTCGTTTCAACTTTGCACAATGGTTACTCAATCACAGATCTTTTTTAACTGCAGCCCAAATTGTCTCTGACTTGTCAGCATCTTCAGCTGCCTTGAACTACATGCATTACAGCTAGGTTACCAATGGTCCGGAGACCGGACGTCTCCCCCGTACGTCCGGTACCCCCGTAGTCCGGGTTTCCGGACGGCGGCTATTTGGCACTAGAGACCCCCACAAAAAAAATCAGATTTTTCTGAGCATTTGGTGATAGGGTGGTATTTGGGGGAGGGTACCAGGGGTTTGGGTGGGGATAGGAGGGGTATAGGTGGGGATTAGAATCTTTGAAGATTTTTATTATTTATTTGGTGGCATACACCTTATGCAAGGCGAAAGCCACATGATATTTTTTCAAAAAAAAAAAAAAAAAACTTTGCATTAGAGGAAAATTAAAAAAGGAAAAAGATCCAGCAGCCTAGCTCGGTTGGTAAGGCACGCAAGTGGCATTCACGAGGCCTTGGGGTAAAAAAAAAAAAAAAAAAAAAAAAAAAAAAAAAAAAATGAAAAGCAAGAATTCAAGCACTCTCATCTAGAAAGAAGGTAAAAACTCCACCTCCTGCAGCACACAGCAATTCCCATTAGCACGAACAGTAC